TTTTTAAGTATTTTTTTTAAATTAATTGTTGCTTTATTTTCTTAATACAATTCTATGAAATAAATAATTAAATTTATACATATTTTTTTTTAGGATTTATGATAAATTGAAACTTGCATTTTAGATTATTATAAATTTTTATTTAAGAATCCATGCATAAAAAAATAAATAAATTGTGCTTTTTAAAAGGAAATCTTTTAAAAAACACAAGAAATAATTAATTGAATATAAAATTATGATTAAAAAAATCATAAAATTAGGTGAAGGTGAATATATATATATATATATATTTACCTTTGATTTCAATAGATTTATAGCATAGCAAAAACTATTAAATTATAATATTTTTTTGAAATAATTTCATTTATTGTGTTCGATCCTCGGCGTAGTAGTTATTATCAATAAAACTAAAGTAAAACTATTATTTACTTGTTTGAAATACTATTCACAAACTTGCAAATCACTATTTCTTTTATTATTCATTTCATTTTGTAACACTTTGGTCCTCAAGTTTTCTACTTTTTTTTTTTTTATCAATTTCAAACTTTAATTGTATTGTAATTTGATCCCATTTTGTTTTAAAGTTTTTTGTTAATTATTTTTAATATTAAAATTTACTAATTTAATTTGTCATTTTTTAAAATTCTCCTTTTTTTTTCAATTTCAAACTTTGATTTATTAATTATTTTTATTATTTAAAATTTACTACTTTAATTTATCATTTTTTTAAATTGTCTTTTTTTTTTAATTTTAAACTTTAATTATATTTTGATTTGGTCCCATTTTGTTTTAGTGTTTTTGTTAATTATTTTTATTATTTAAAATTTACTACTTTAATTTGTCATTTTTTTTAAATTCCCATCTAATTAATTTAAAATTATATTTACCGATAGTTTTGATTTATTTTTCTATATGTATGGATTTTGGAATAAATTTTTAGAACATGTTTATTTTTTCTTTTGAAAAATAGATTTAGATAATTTTTATATTATATTGGCATGATTAATATATATAATTTTTTTGAAATATATTTTTATATTAAAAGTGTATTTCAAATAATTTTTTCTCAATTTTTTATATTATTTAAAATTTACTATATTAATTTGTCATTTTTTTAAATCCTCTTTCTTTTTGTTTTTTTCAACTTAAAACTTTGATTATATTGTGATTTGGTCCCATTTTGTTTTAATTTTTTTGTTATTTATTTTTATTATTTAAAATTTAATGCTTTAATTTATTATTTTTTTAATTATCATCCAAGTAATTTAAATTATATTTACTGATGGTTTTGATTTATTTTTCTATATGTATGGATTTTGGAATAAATTTTTAGAACATGATTTTTTTATAAAAAAAATAGATTTAGATAATTTTTATATTATAGTGGCATGATTAATATATATAATTTGTCTAAAATATATTTTTATATTAAAAGTGTGTTTCAAATAATTGTTTCTCAATTTTTTATATTATTTAAAATTTACTACATTAATTTGTCATTTTTTAAAATCCTCTTTATTTATTTTTTTCAATTTAAAACTTTGATTATATTGTGATTTGGTCCCATTTTGTTTTAATTTTTTTGTTAATTATTTTTATTATTTAAAATTTACTACTTTAATTTGTTATTTTTTTAATTATCATCCAATTAATTTAAAGTATATTTACTGATGGTTTTGATTTATTTTTTTATATGTATGGATTTTGGAATAAATTTTTAGAACATGATTTTTTTTTTTGAAAAATAGATTTAGATAACTTTTAAATCATAGTGGCATGATTAATCTATATAATTTGTCTAAAATATATTTTTAGATTAAAAGTGTATTTCAAATAATTTTTTATTTTTTTATTTTAGAAAAAAACTCAAATTAATTAATTAATTGCTGAAAGTCAAATGTGAAAAATAAAAAGAAGATAGTTACTCGACGCGTGAGGCTTATATTCAATGACTAGTCATGGATAGCATAGAAATAAATAAATAATATTTAAGAAATTGGAGGGAAAAAATGAATTCACATGTTTTATTAATTTGTTTCTTCTTTATGTAATCGAAATTAATCAAAATCAAATTTGTAATAATTTTTATTTTAGTCTACCGACTTCAAATTTAGTCAATATATTCCTTGCAAGTTAACTTCTTCTTCTTTTTTATAGTATTTTTATTTTAAACTGAAAACTCGAACTCACTTAGTATAGTCATGACATATAAAAAAATATTGAATTGTTGTTTTTTATATAAATTAAGCGTGCAACTACTTGCTACACCAAGCATTAACTATTTATTTATTGATTTTTGAATATTTTAAAATTAACTTATTTTAAATTAAATAATTCAAATTATGTTTTGGCTCAACCACTCAATGATTCAAATTAATATAGTTTTTTATTTTAATATTATTCATTTTTTTGTAAATAAATATATGTTCACATTTTTTTCAAAAATTGATATTCTCATCAATATTAAATAAAAAAATTGTTCAATTCTATGTAAGCTTTTAATAATTGTTATTTATATTTTTCGGCATAATCTTATGAAATACTCGAAGTTTTTTTTAAAAATTTATTTAATCTTCTTTTTAGTTAATAGTCCATGGATTAACAAGGATAAATCCTTTTTCTAAATGAAAAATTATGAAAAACACAAGTAAGAAATATTTAAATATAAAATATTTTATTAAAAAAGTATAAATAATTTTTTTTCACCTTTGATTTTATATATTTTCATAGATTCACATCATAAAACAGACTATCAAATTAAAATAATTTTTCTAAACAATTTTATATATTTTATCCAACCCATAATATAGCGTGGGTAAAAAAACTAAAATGAAACCTCCAAACCCTGTTCATTGTATTGTTCATGCATACTTAAACTACTGTGAATTGACTCTTCATATGAATAATTCTTTTTTTTTTTTTTCCGCTCCTTTTCTTTTGTTTAATTCTCCCCCTCCTGTTTCATGCCTTTCTTCATCATCTTTAGTTGTCTTCTTACTCATTTTTCTTATACCTTCTTTTAATTTAATTTTCCTTTCTCCCATTACGTGGTTTTTGGCTATTATTATTTTACCCTCCTTTTTTTCTTGTAAGTTTTTTTGTCCTCTTTCAACATTTCCCTTTCATCTTTTTTAGAGTATTTAACACTCTGCCATAACATCAATGGCAATTTCATGACTTTAAAAAAAATTGAGAGCATTTTATACGATATATAACAATAGAATTTTCGTTAATTTTGGTATTTTAATGGCATTTTACTAGATGCATCCCAAAATACTATTCACTATTTTGCATTGCACTATTTCGTTACCGTACAAAAAACTCTTTTATATGCAATGTTTTACAAAAATTACACTTTTATCCCTAATTTTAGATTTTAGAGTAAAATTTAAAACATGAATTTTTTTCTTTTAAAAAATAAATTGATATAATTTGGATAATTGATTCTTAGAATTTTTTTAATATATATATATATATATATATATATATATATATAAAGGTGATTGTTAGGGGGAGTTTTATATAAAGGGACTAGCCATGTATAGTTTAGAAATAAAAATTATTTAATAAGAAAACAAAAAAAGAAATTCATGTGTTATATTTAGTTTTTTTTATATCAAAATTTATTGAAGGACAGGAAGGAGACTCCGGTAAAAAAAGCAGCGGAAAGCAGCGCTGTTGTCCGAGTCTGCTTTGGAGGAGATAAGGATAGTAGGGGCTGAGAATGGGAGTGATTATGGGTCTGGGTCCGGTTCGGGTTCTAGTCCGCTTTCAGAGTCAAGGAAGGTGGTTTTATTGTAGATGTTTTTAAGATAATATAATATATTTGATATTTATCAATAAAGTCCTTTTAAATCCATGCGGTAGTTTTAAAATTTAAGAATATTTTTGTCAAATCAAAATACTTCAACAAATAATACTTTTAGCTACAGTTATGGATCATGGATAAGTAGTTCTTGCGCTAAATTATCCGATATACACAAACTTTCCACTCATTTGCTAGATTCCGAAATGAGCAGAACTTATTTTCCTTTTGGTTTTTTTTTTTTTTGGCATCCTATTGTTCATTCCATACCAAGAAGAAAAGTAAAACCTAGGCAGCCTATGGGAGCCCAACTCCCATGAGGCCAGCCCAAAACTCAAAGATTTGAAAAAAGAGCCCACCATAAACACAAACTGAAAATGTCAACACGATCGAGTCACCCAAAGATCCCATAGGCTCAGCTCAAATCCACATGCAAAAACCACGAACTCTCTTAAACAAGGAAGGGAGGAAGCAAGAACCCAGCCACAAGCAAATATACCATGATCCCATCCCTCCTAACAAAGAAACATGTTCTTTAAGAAAAAGGAAAAAACAAAAGAACCCCAAACCTAAACGGGAGAAAAATAGATAGCGTTATTACATTGGATTGTCAATTGACCAACATCAACATGTGTAAAAAAAGGCAGCACAAAGAAAGAAGGAACGGAAAGAAAAGCGAATGAATGAACATTACTTTGTTACAAACAAATTAAAATCGATTCCTTCCTGCCTACATTACTAACAACAAAATAAAAACACAAAAACTAATAATAACAGGAATAATAATTATTACTAATAATAAAGACAGTAAAAAAAATAAAAAATGGAAATCCGAGGGAGAGTCAAGAAGGACTATTTTAGTTTTTGTTGTTCTCCCGTTGTTGTTGATTTCTTTCCTTCTCCTTTTTTCCTATTTTCACTTTTTGTTTGTTTTTATTATTCTTTTCTTTTTCTCTTATTCGTTCATTCAATTCTTTTCTTTTCTTTTCCTCACGCGGCGTTTATCATTATTTTCGGATTCAATTTAATTGAAAGATAATAAACAAATAAAATGCTGTAGTGATGTTAATTTCTTCTCTCGGCCTTGACTCTCACGATATTAGAGAGAGAAAAAGTAAAACAAATCAGTTCTCTCTCTTTCTCTTTCGTTTTCTGTTTTGGAAACCCTAATTTTTTCATTCGATCTCGATTTCGAATGGAGGCGAGTTCAGATGAAGATAATCACAACAAATCGAAGAACAACACGATGAATTCTAATGAAGGACAGAGCAAGCCTAAACGCCAGATGAAGACTCCTTTCCAACTCGAAACCCTAGAGAGAGCTTATGCCAGTCCGTGCACTTCCTCATCCTCTGTTTATGTTTATACGATTTTGATTCGATTTCTTCTTTTTTTTTTTTGTTTTTGTTTTAATTCTGGGTTCAATCTGTTTGTTTGCTTTTGTTTATGATCTCTTCTGGTTTGAATTTTCTCCACTGTTTGTGTTTTTCATTCTGTTTATGCATGGATTCTTGTTAATTGCATGTGTTATCAATGTAGAGGCTTACTTGCTTGTTAATTCTGTTGAAATTTTTTAACTTTTTTGTAATTTTGATCTCATAGCTAGTTAATTTTTTTTTTGTTACTGATTATAGATGCTTAGTTTTTTTTTTCTCTGGATTTTTGTGATTTTTCTACGTGCAATTTGTTTATCTTCACTTGTTTTGTGGATTTTGGATGATTTTGATTCGTTAATTAGCAATCTTTCTTTCTTTTTTTTGTGCGTTATATGTGTGTATGCGTATGTGCTTCTGGGTTACGTGGTTAATTTTAATTTTATTTTTTGATTTTGGTGTTTTATTGTTGGTTTTATCAGCGGAGACATATCCATCGGAGGAGATGCGGGCAGAATTGTCGGAAAAATTAGGACTATCTGATAGGCAGTTGCAGATGTGGTTTTGCCACAGGAGATTGAAGGACAAAAAGGAGACTCCAGTAAAAAAGCAGCGGAAAGCAGCTCCATTGTCCGAGTCTCCTTTGGAGGAGATGAGGATAGTGGGGGCTGAGAATGGAAGTGATTATGGTTCTGGGTCCGGTTCGGGTTCTAGTCCGCTTTCAGAGTCAAGGAAGGTGGTTTCAGATGATGGGCATATGATGAGAAGGTACTATGATTCATCACCACAGTCGGTTATGGAACTTCGAGCTATTGCCTGTGTGGAGGCGCAGCTTGGGGAGCCATTGAGGGATGATGGGCCAATTCTTGGAATGGAGTTTGATCCTTTGCCACCTGATGCTTTTGGGGCACCAATAGGTCATGCTGCTTAACTGATCTTAACCATGCCATACTTCTGATTGCTCGAAATTGTAGTATTTTTTAAATGAGGTGGGATGAATGTAGGCATTGTGTGATCTGAGTTCAGTTTCGAGCAAACAAAAAGTATTTAGTCTTCATGGATCCTCTTTTATTCCATGCCTTTTTGGTGCTAATTTCTACTGTTTTTATATTTATTTTGTTTGTTATTTGAAACGAACAACTGAACTGCATTTGCACTATATTTACAACTAATTTGTGCTGATAAAAAATTCTGCCTGAGTAGAACATTTGAAATAGACCTTTATTAACTAGGATAGTTACTTCTGTTTAGATACTTAATGTTTCATGCTACCACAGTGATAGGTTCATGCTATTGGAACCACCGATGTTTAGTTGGAGAGCGAATACCTAGGCATGTCTAATCATGTGATCCATTAAAATCAATACTTGTCTAGTTATCCTTGTTCCTATTGTTTGTTTACTGATGATAGTGGAAACAAAATCAATTTTTCTCTAGAACATAATCATGCCGAATGCATTTTCAACTGTTTAACATGACTTGTGTCTTTTTTATTTTTTTGATGTTGGATTGCATCTGCTAAATACTTGTTGTTAATCAAATGCAGCAGCAATTACAGAACAACAGAAGCGAATGGGGTATTCTTATGATGACAAAGTATACGAGCGACGTGATGCCAAATCAAGCAAAGTAGTTTCTTAAATCCCTCATATCTCTCTTTTATTTTTGTGGTGCATGTGATACACATAATGTTGGATGAGATTTGTGATATTTCCTTGCTGCTATTGAAGTGCAAATATGGTTTAGATACTCTGACGTTCTATCAGCATCTAAATGTTTAGTCTTATTAAACTAGGGATCTTTCATTTGCTTTCCCTGTTCCAAGTTCTTGTTATCTTAGTTTTAGTTTTTATTTATTTATTTTCAAAATTCTGGTCAGCTGCTATTGCCATCTCTGAGGTCAGATGAGGCTCTTTTCTCGTATTGCCAGGACTGCAATTATAGCTAAATCCATCACAATAAGATAGTAACGACCTGCAATTAACAACTAAAAAAAAATCATTCTTCTTAAAAAACACATAAGGATAATAAGTGACAGCTTGAAGGCAGTGGAAAAAAGGCTGCTTCCAATTATTAGCAACCTAATGAAAAATTGGCCATGTTGCATGTTTGTCAAGTTCTCATAGCTAGTTCTCTCCATTGCTTTTCTTGGAGGTTTCTCTACTTCTGTACTGGATTTCATAAACTAACTCACATGTTTATGAGATTGGTACAATAGAATGATATGATGTGTGCCTTCCTGAGTAAATGCTGGATTTCTAAGTGTAGATTTTGTATTATGCTTAGTTCATATTGGTTAAATTCTCAAGTAGCGATTCTATCCTAGGCCTTTGCAAAGGTTCCTAATGAGTTAACACTTTCTCCAGGATCATGCCAGTGTTCGATCTGATGCATATGGACAGCTTGCCCAATCTCCTTATCATGATTCGCCAGTTGATACTTTGAGGGGAAGAGCTTCACCATTTGGTGTAGGCCAAATATCACGTGCTCGCCTCTTGTCTCAACAAGACAAGAGGGGGCCTGTTTTTTCATCACCTCGGAGGGATGATGACTATCTCCTGCAACGAGACACCTTTACAGTCAATAGAACAAGTGCTCAATCTATTAGTCATCCTGTTATGGGACCAGAAAATCCAAATGTCTTTTCTGATGTACAAGCCTTTCACAATGACACTGAGCTGCGGTTGGAAAGGAAACGCAAGGTATTGTGAAGTTGCCAAAAGCTTTTTGCTCTCTCTTTCTTAATCTAGGATTGGTAATTATATATGTGGTTGCCTTTTGTAGATCGATGAACCTAGAAATGCAAGGGAAGTTGAAGCTTGTGAGAGTCGGATGCGCAAAGAGCTTGAGAAACAAGATATTTTAAGGCGGAAGGTACTATCTTATTAGTCATGCAATGCTGAAATTTGTAATTTTTCATATGATTCTGATGTTTGAACTTGCATTTTCAGAATGAAGAACGAATGAGGAAAGAGATGGAAAGGCATGACCGTGAGAGACGAAAAGAAGAAGAGAGATTAATGCGTGAAAGGCAAAGAGAAGAGGAGAGATCACTGCGGGAGCAAAAACGTGAACTTGAACGAAAAGAAAAGTTCATGCAGAGAGAGTATTTAAGAGTGTGTTTTGAATCCACTATTCTGAGCTTTTAGCTAATCTTTTAATTTTTAGATAGAGGTATCCTAACTATGTCTTTGTTATCCTTGTTTATTTTCAAGGCTGAGAAAAGAAGGCAAAAAGAAGAGCTTCGTAGGGAGAAAGAGGCTGTGAAACGTAAAGCTGCCATGGAGAAGGCAACTGCACGCAAGATTGCTAAAGACTCTTTGGATCTTATTGAGGATGAACAGCTGGAACTCATGGAATTGGCTGCTGCAAGCAAAGGCTTAGCCTCTATAGTTAACCTCAACTATGATACTTTGCAAAATCTCGATTCATTCAGAGGTAATGATATCTGATGACTAGACCACGTTGAGGAAGAATAATTTGATTTTTCTGTTGAAATAGGAGGGTTAGAAGTTTGTTTTTAACATTTTTTGCTCCAGACTTGTTGATCACATTCCCATGTGAGTCTGTGCAATTAAAAAAGCCTTTTGGATTTCAACCCTGGCTGGATCACGAAGAAAATATTGGGAATCTTCTGATGGTATGCCCTAAACTCACTTTTATTTCTTTGGTTACTATCTGATGATCATGTGATTCACTTGGTTCCATCTTAGTTCCTGTGATGAAAGTCTGATAACTCCTAGTCGACTCATTTTTCATTTCTCGTTTCTTTTTCATTGCTCGTTTCTTTTTCCTTGCATGAAATTTATTAAAACGAGAAACTCACTAAGTTATACTGTTTGTCTATGCTTGTTGTGTTGCTCCAGATATTTCTTTTATCATGTCAGTAATTTCTTGTCTATATTTTGAGGTCCCAAAATTTGTTCTTTTTCAGGTCTGGAGGTTTTTTATTACTTTTGCTGATGTTCTTGGGTTATGGCCATTTACACTGGATGAGTTTGTTCAAGCCTTCCATGACTATGTGAGTTTCTAATGGAGTTTCATGTCTCAATTTTGTTGTCTAGCTTCATTTTATGCATCTTCCTCTCAGTTGATATTTATACTATTTTGATATTAGGATTCAAGATTGCTTGGTGAATTACATGTTGCTCTTCTGAAATTAATAATTAAAGACATTGAAGATGTTGCAAGGACGCCTTCTAGTGGATTTGGAATAAATCAATATTATACAGCCAACCCTGAAGGCGGACATCCACAAATTGTTCAAGGGGTAAGCTCTTCTCCATGGACATGTTTTCTCGTACTCAATTGCATGATATCTTTCAATTGATGCTGAACCATTTTCTACTTCTATGTATTAGGCTTATGCATGGGGCTTTGATATACGCAACTGGCAGCAGCACTTAAATCCATTAACGTGGCCCGAAATACTCCGGCAATTGGCATTGTCTGCGGGGTTTGGGCCACGGTTGAAGAAAAGGAGTGCAACATGGACAGGTTTGGGTGATATTGATGAGGTTTGTCTTTGTCTTGATTCTTTATTTTATTCTATGCTCTTCCTGGTTTAGCTCCTTTAATGTGTCATATACATGCCAACTAAAACGGGTTTAGGGAGAGCTGAATTCCTGTACTCTAATGGATGTTCAGAGCAGTAAGAATTGGAATTACTTAATTTACATCCTTGCTTCAGACTTGGAAGATGGAGAGAAATAGGCAAAATATTCAGGTAGCACGTTGAGTGAAAGATTGAAGCTTTGTTCATTGGAGTTGTTAAGAGAATGATGTGCAACTAAATAGAGGACGGATATTACAGTCAAGAAAATTGACAGTTTAAACATCACTTGTAGTGTCATCGTTTTCAGAATAAGGTTATTTTCTGGGAATTTGTTGATTGGGATATATCTGCATTTTAGGAGTGAGATCATTGTTATTAGGACTATCTGGCATTCAGCATTCTTCAGGATTTTGCTGTGCCTTTATAACTAACTAATCAAATAAACAGCACGAGTCTTCCTTGGTGCCCTTGTGCAAGTCCTTGGCTTGCAAAAATAAAGTTTCATGTTTGGGTCTTGAGAGCTGGCATTTAATGCAATAATGCTGAAAAAGGAGGATTGTCTCTAAATTTTCTCTCCTAAGATAGATAAATTGATAATGGCCTTTATCAATTTAATGACACACACAAGATGTTTTTTGGTGGGTTTCGAGTGTAATTATGTTTGGGCACTTGTCAAATAACTTGCTTTGATATTAATTTATGTTCAATCTGGATGATAACTTTCACCAAAGTTTGTAAGCATCTCTTATTTGCTCATGCAAATTTGTATAACAATATGTTTGAGGACCAACTACTATTTTTTTGCTTTGTCCTTTCGTGTTCTTACAGAAGATTATATTTATTAGTTGCAGGTTAAAGATTGTGAGGATATCATTTCTACTATACGCAATGGATCAGCAGCTGAAAATGCATTTGCATTAATGCGAGAAAAGGGTTTATTGCTTCCTAGAAGATCTAGGCATCGGTTGACACCTGGAACTGTTAAGTTTGCAGCTTTTCATGTTCTTTCTCTTGAAGGGGGCAAGGGATTAACAGTGCTAGAACTTGCAGACAAGATTCAGGTGAGTTCTTCTGTTTGTTAAAATTAAATTTTTCCCACTGTTATTGTCCTTATTTGTCCCTATCGCTTACAGAAATCTGGACTTCGGGACCTGACAACAAGCAAGACGCCAGAGGCGTCCATTTCTGTTGCTTTGACTAGGGATCAAAAGCTTTTTGAAAGAATTGCTCCTTCAACATATTGTGTACGGGCAGCTTTCAGAAAGGATCCTGCTGATGCTGAGGCAATACTTGCAGCAGCCAGAAAGAAAATTCGAATATTTGAAAATGGATTTTTAGGTGTAGAAGATGCTGATGATGTCGAAAGAGATGAAGACTCTGAAGGTGATGTTGAGGAGGATCCTGAAGTTGATGAATTAGGTACTCCATTGAGTATTAACAAAAGCACTGTCCATTCTTGTAAAGTAAATACTTTGTCTGGGAATGGAAGAGATAAAGTCGGTAATGATGTTTCATTAACTGTACAAAATGAGTCTGAGAAAGGTCTTTCATCTTTCTCTCTGAATGGTCCAAAGGATGCGGTGACTTCCAGTATCATTGAGCAGTGTGTTACTCATAAAGATGAGAGGACTAATAATGCTGATGAAGAAAACATTGAAATTGATGAAAGCAAGTCAGGTGAATCATGGATTCAGGGACTCACAGAAGGTGAATATTCTCATCTCAGTGTTGAAGAGCGTCTTAATGCCCTTGTTGTCTTAGTTAGTATTGCGAACGAAGGGAATTCTGTTCGTGCTGTTCTTGAGGTAAATGCTCTTTTCCTTTTGGTCAAATGTTAAATCACTACCATCCAGGAAGCTGTTAGTTTTTCCCCTTGTAATTAATATTAAGTTTCACAGGATCGTTTGGAAGCTGCGAATGCTCTTAAAAAACAAATGTGGGTTGAGGCACAATTAGATAGAAGTAGATTGAAAGAAGAGTTCATCAGTAAATTAGATTTTCCATCTTTTACTGGGGGCAGAGTTGAAACACAATTAGCTAGTTCTGCGGTGGAGGGCAGCCAAAGCCCCTTGGTTCTTGTTGAGAGTAAAAATAAAGAAACGTCTCCAAGTAACGTTGAGGATCAGAAACCATTGCCAGAAAATGAAGAGAATCACCTAAGCAGTGTTCTTTCTGAAAAAGCCTTGGTTGTTCAAGATCTTCCCATGAATGCTGATAACATTTCATCTCAGCAGCACGGATATGCTTCAAAAAGGTCACGTTCACAATTGAAAGCTTACATTGCTCACTTAGCTGAAGAGATGTATGTTTACAGGTCCTTGCCTCTTGGTCAAGATCGCAGGCGTAATAGATACTGGCAGTTTGTGGCATCTGCTTCTAGAAATGATCCTTGTTCTGGTAGGATATTTGTAGAATTACATGATGGCAATTGGAGGGTTATTGATTCGGAAGAGGTAATTTCTCTTTCTGTGGTTTATGCATGGTTTTGTTCCTCTGTAACATTAGATTTAAGCATTAATATCTTTATTGCAAGCTCTATTGTCATCTCTAAGAATTTTTTGTTTTTTAAAAAAATCTACTTTGACTATAAAAGCTAGAGTTAAAATGAGGTTCTTGAGATGAAAACCACCAATTATCTGCAGCGGCCGTGGATACATCAGTTGCAGAGATGATCTGAATAATGGTAATTGTACTGATGTGACCTATTGGGAGAGGGCTTGGGCATGATGATGGTGTCCTTTGACTTAATGTGGTTTCAGTCATTGTTAAATTGTCTTGGAGAGAACTTGCGCCTTTCCACTATTCCAATGTCAGCATATAGTTTAATGGTAATCTAAGAAAAAAGAATATATAATCAACTCTTCTAGTGGAAGCACATGTTACCTCTTTTAATCTTTTTCCTTTCTGCTGGCTGTTTCCTTAGGAGGTTGTCCTAACATTAAAAGCAAGAAATCTCTCTTTTAGGGTCCACTTTTTCATTGTTTTCCAGAGTTTGAAAATCATCTATTTACTGATGGAAACCAGTCTCTCATTATCTCTAATGATTGACTGCATGAGAATGGTCATATGATTAGTTTTTATTCTTTGGTTGATGCCTTGCAGAATTCACTGACACCATATTCAACTCTATTTCTGTTCAGGCGTTTGATACTCTTTTGTCATCTCTAGATACTCGTGGGGTTAGGGAATCTCACTTGCGGATAATGTTGCAAAAGGTTGAGTCATCTTTCAAAGAAAATGTACGAAGGAACTTGCGGTCTGCAAACATAGTGTGCCAAAGTGGAACCACAGATAAAAACGAAACAGCTGAAACAGAAAGTTCCAATTGCCAAGCTGGCATTGCCAGCCCTAGCAGTATGGTTTGTGTTTCCAGCTCAGATACTTCGGATACTGTTTCGTTGTTCAGAATTGAGCTTGGGAGAAATTCAGCAGAGAAGAAGGGTGCTTTGAGAAGGTACCAAGATTTCCAGAACTGGATGTGGGAAGAGTGCTTCAATTCCTCAACATCATGTGCCATCAAATATGAGAAGAAAAGATGTGAGCAGTTATTGGATACTTGTAAACTATGTCTCAACTCTCATCTCTCTGAAGATACCCACTGTCTTTCTTGTCACCAAACATTTAAAGTTGGTGACAAGAATTTTGATTTTGCTGAACATGAGATTCAATGTAAAGAGAAAAGGAAGTTTGATCCTGGAAATGCATTTACTTGTGATTCTTCTTTACCACTGGGAATCAGATTGCTGACGGCGCTGTTAGGTTGCATTGAGGTTGGAATGGCATTTTCATATTACAGTTTAGTATTTTGATTTCCCAAAGTCTTATCTTTTTTAAAAAAGAGAAAAATGTTTTCTGAGTCTGGGTCCCATCTATTGATAATTATTAATCATGTTGACCCTTATATTATTTTCACTTTCGAGATGCAGGTATCTGTTCCACAAGAAGCTCTTGAGTCATTTTGGATGGAAATCAGCAGGAAGGACTGGGTTATGAAGTTGATAATGTCATCATCAACTGAGGAACTCCTGCAGGTTCTCAACATTTACTCATCTCTAAAGTTCAACTTGAATATATATGCTAAATTTTGTATGTGTCTTTCCTGTTTCATTTCTGGCATAAATATGTATTGCCAAGTCAGTTTTTTCCCCCTACCTAGTGATGCTCTGCGATGTGTTTTGTTACTTCTATTACTGATGCTTGTTTTATTCTGTTTAATGAAGGGAGGGGCAAGTACTTTTTATTTATTTGTTCAGAGAAAACATGCAGTTATTCCAACGATGTTTTTTACGTTTTTTTTTTTTTTTAACTATTTCATGGGGATGCAGGCTTTATTTATGGAAGCATGTACTGCTGTTCATTACTTCATAGCACATAATCTGAACCTGTTTGTGATATATGTTTATAGAAGAATCATGTATATCGATTTTCTCCTGCTTACATTGCTGCATCATTTTCATGCATTCATTGTTCCATTATGCAGTACAAAGTCACATATTGCAATAATAAAGTCATGACTTGGTATAATAGACTTAAAAAAGCTGTTGCCCTGTCATGGTCATGCTGAAGTGCAGCCTCCCAAGGCTGTAAAAGACTCTGGATTTCAACATACCCATGTGGATTAAAAATTTGCTTTGTGCTAACGCGCTCTTATGAGGACTAATGTGCATGCAGATGAGCTCATATTATGAATTCTACCAAGCCAGTAGCGTAACAAGCATATAACATACCTAGCGTCATGTTTCTATATGGTGGGATGTTTTTGCTTATTTTAGAGTTCATATTGCAGATATTGACCATGTTTGAGAGTGCCATAAAAAGAGAGAGATTGTCATCGCATTTCGAGACTACTAAGGAATTATTGGGCTCTGCTGCGTTGTCAGGGAGTGCAGCACATGGTTCTGCTGGTCTGGTATCAGTTCCTGTACTTCCTTGGATGCCGAGAACCACTGCAGCTGTGGCCTTGAGACTTTTTGAGCTAGATGCATCTATTATTTATATAAAGAATGAGAAACCCGAGCCCTCTGCAGACAAGTCGGTCAAACTATACATGGTCAGTGAATCCCCTTTTCTGTCTGATTTACTGCCATTGTCAAGACATGCCTATATAGTTTTTTTTGTTTTGTTTTGTGTTTTTTTTTTTTTTTTTTTGGTTTTTGTGGGTGGGTTTGGGTTTACATCCCTTTATTTTCTCCAACTTTAAATTGAGTATGCCTAAAAGAGTGTCTTTGAGTGCTTTAAAGTGTTTTGATCCCACATACAAACCCATGCTTGGAATGGTTGCCTTTTATTGGCAAGTTGGGGCCACACACTGAGTTAAGAAGGGGAGAGAATCTGCTAATGGCTTTTAGGAATTTCAGCTCATCGCTGATATGAAAGATGTTTTGAATTTTTGATTATTTGCCTGGTTTTTCTTATATGCAGAAGCTTCCTTCAAGATATTCTCCCTTTAAGAATGAAGAGACTGGATTAAAAGATATAAAGCAAGAAGAGGACAGTAAAGAAGAGATTGTTGATCTGCGCAGTAAACGTAGCAGTTATAAACGTGGACGTGGGGGACGAGATCAAGGACCTGCTACTAAGTGGCAGAGAAGAGTACCTGGTTTAAAATCTGAGACAGGCAGGCAGAGTTCTTCTAGAGGAATTCAGAATTTGAATCAAGGACCAAGGCAGCAGGGGAGAAAAACAAATTTGCAAGCATCTAGTCGGGGTCGTCGCACAGTTAGGAAGAGGAGAGTGGAAAAGATGGTCGCCAAGGAACCATTGCTTGGTCGGATGACTGACACGGTAGCGCCCATAAACTACTTATCGGAAAAAACAGCTGCACACAACAGCTATGTTAAATCATTCAGAAACCTCAGTGATGAAGATTGGAGTGCTAAAAAGGGCAAGATGGATGTGGTGGATGATGACAATAGCAACAGTATGGAAGAAGCAGAATCTGATGATAATGTTGAAGAGGAGGCATATGAACAAGTAAATTGGGAGCCAGCTTTCAATGGCACTTCCAATGGGTGGAATGGAAATTCAATAGAAGCGAGTGATGATGATGGAGATGCTTCTAATGGCATTGAAGCAATGGGTGACGATGATTCAGAGGGGGACATTGAAATGAGTGACGGGTCAGACCGAGCTGCCAATCGGGTGCAGAATGATGAAGGCATTGACTCTGCAGATTCAGATGAGTACAGTGACTGAAGCATATTGATATTCAAGGTATCGCTGATGAGCTCGCGTTAGTCATATATCTGAGCTGTATTAAAATTTTTTGTCATGCAGCTCGACTGGCAGCCACCTAAATTCATGTACAATGGGGGAGTAAGAAAGTGAATCGCCCCTACCTTTTCCTCGATTAATAGGGCACTACGTAGCAGAAAGGTAGAGTAGGAAGTAATTAGATAGATCCGCGTTGTAATTCATCATTGTTAGAGAGGCATTGGATTTTCTTTGTACACGTGCCCTGAAAAATGAGTTTTTTTTCCTTTTTTTTTATTTAATTCTATTTATTATATTATGTTTGTCTAACAGAAATTTGTCAATAAAGCAAATCCACGTAGCATTCATTTTCTACTGAGAATTTTCTTTTTCACTTGGTTAAGAGAGGTTAATGAAAAACTGTTCCTGGTCCTGGTTGTATGATCCTTTGTAACGTTTGATTATGGGGTAAGGGATTTTCATGTTCTTCTATTAAGCATAATAATAAGGGAGATCCAATGGCCTCTCAGGCTAAACCTAGGCCCTTTATTGTTAGTAAACTTCTACTTGCAATGCCAGCTGAACGGCATAACCTCCAGAGTCCAGATTCAGAAAACCAAACAAGTAAAGAACAACGGTATGGGGACAAAGAACAGCTCTTGTTCGCACGAGGCGTGAACAAGAGCAGTAATGGCATGGTATTCTCTCACGTCTTCGCTAGTAGCAGCAGCCACACTCTCCGAGAAAGCACAAGAATGAAACTACTCTTGCATCCCAATGCTGTTTTAAGAAATCATCTTCCTATAACTTGCTTCAGTACATTATATAATCTATCGGGGCACAGGCCGAATCCGCTGGCATTTTCATTCATATTGACAATGAATGTACCATTGGTTCAGCTATACAACAAAATATAGAAGAAGCACAAACTCTCAACCATCTCAAATAAGTATTCACATGTACTATTAAGGATTGACCCCTACCAAATCTAAGAGGGTAATAGTTTCTTGATTCCTGACTTCTGCTCAGCAGTTAGCCTTATTGGGAATTTGATGTTGAACTTGATTCTCAAGTTACCCCTCTTCGATGGGTCCTTGGGTATTGGCATACCTTCTTTGGGGACTACTTCCTCGTAATCTGGATGAATCACGTTGTTGATGGGGATGGTCAGGGTCCTCCCATCTAAGGTAGTAAGATGGATGGTGCAGCCTGATAGAGCTTCTACAAGAGGTATATTCTTTGTGACAACCAAATCGTTACCTTCCCTTGTGAATGTGCGGTGTGGTTTCTCATCAATTAAGAAGACGAGATCTGCAGGGATGACGTTTGGTTGCTCATTACCTTTCTCTGGGAAGGTTATTTTTGTTCCCTTTTTCCATCCAGGCTTGATATCAAGAGTCAAGATTTCCTCCACTGGCAGTGTTTTCCTGTCACACAAAAATTAGCAGTTACTATAACCATTAACCAGTATTCCAACTATGGCTCTCCAAGAATATATGCAACTTGCAAGAGAAAGGATCATGCTGAAGAAAGGTTGATTAGGGGTGTACGTTGGCAATGGCTAAATCGGCTAAATCCCTTGAGTACAAAGCAACCTAAAGACATGAAGGTCACACCATTACCGAAATTAAGATATCAAGTCTATAATTCAACTTCTGTATCAATAAGCGTGAGATGCATGTGTTTCACAGCCCTTGATATTCTATTCATTCCACTTGATGAATAATTGGTGAGATAGCGGGAAATGCAAAAAACTCCAGGAGTAGAGACTAGAGAGTACAAAATCAAAAGGAAAAAACATACAACTTAAACTAACCAGTTGACTCCAGAAGTATCCGTGAAAGGCAGCCATTCATGTTAAAACAGATGCATCACTCACACACGGAAGAGAAAATTGAAATATCTACAAATTCTCATTTGCCACCATAAGTTGGGAACAAGTATGAAGAACAAACCAAATCATGTCTATCAGCATCAAACATTATCCACATACTAGAACTCGTAGGACAGCAGCAACATACGACAAACACAAGTAAACAAAAAACACTATAAATAGGTACAAGTAGAAAGACAATTGATAAGGCATCGCTTACCCACTAGCATCAGCAATCTCCCTTGAAATCTTCATCTTTTTAGTAGTTCCCTTATAGAGCTCCTCAAGGCTACATGGCAACGTTTTCTCTATTGGAGGCGCTTTGCGAGGAGATGAGTGCGTTGGAAGTCCCTCGCCAAAGGAACTAAAAATATCATCTCCAAACATTCCACCAAAAGACCTTGAACCACCTCTCATGCCACCACCACCTCCCATTCCTCCAAATGGGCTAGAGAAGCCAAAGAATTCGGCAAAAATATCATCGGCATTTCTCGGATTGAATCTGAACATCGTCGGTCCATCTCCTGTTGAAAAGAAGGTTTCTCCTTCTGGACCACCAGCATCTGGTGGTGGTACGTGGCCTTTAAGCCCTTCTTCTCCATATTGATCATATATTGCTCTCTTTTGAGGATCACTTAGAACCTGTTAAGCGATCAACATACAAAACTTGAGTTCCTATTTGGTTATGCATGATCTAATAATAGACCAAAATATGAGAAGCAATGAATTGTATATACACCATAAAAATAGAGCAAAATTTCATGGGGCCTAAAAAGGCCAACAATTCTGGGAATTAAGTAATCCCCTGAAGCTAAAATACCATTTCAATATGAAAAGTGACTAATTGCCAACATCCCAGACCAGTATCTGACCTTCTTGAATAGAACTAGCACTCGATATGGAGAAAGCAAGGTAAACATATAATAATAAACGAACTTAAGCCATCCAGAGTAATAACCAACAACTTTTATATAGAAAATAAATACAAACCTCGTAAGCTTCAGAGATCTGTTTGAATTTTGCCTCAGCTTCTTTCTTGTTATTTGGGTTCTTATCAGGGTGCCATTTCATAGCAAGCTTTCTATAAGCTTTCTTCAAGTCATCATCTTTAGCATTCTTGTCTACCTGCAATATCTTGTAGTAATCCGCGCCCATTGATATAATAAGATTTCTCTGTCCTTTTTTCTCTTTCTTTAATTAGTAATTTCCTGCTGAAACTGGGAAAGTTGGTAACTTGAGAGTGCAAAAACTTGCTATATGCTGGTGTGTTTTGTTGTTTGTTGGGGATGTGGTGATGAGGTGCTAGCTTTGATAGGATTGAGTGTCGAGACAAGAGTTAGAGAAAAAATAAGAAAGAGTAGGATGAGTCTGGAACATGTTAAGGACCAGAAAGATGTGGAACTTTCCAGAGAGAATGGTGTCCGTAAGAGAAATTGATCCAATTTTTTACGTATTTTTGGCATGGTTATGAAATGAATTTTGCACTGTTAAGTGACAGGTTCAGCCAGAAATTAGGATCTTCACATTCATGGGCTACAATTTCGATGTTGTACGCACAAGTGCAATGTCTATAATCTAATTGTTATTGGATTTGAATCCAATTGGTCCTTTTTTTTTTTTTTTCCTTTATCCAAATCTAAACCATAATTTTAAATACCAAATTTAGTTTTAAAAGGATGACGATAACATATAATAATTTATTACAATAATAAAATAACAGTCATAATAGCTAATATTGTAAATACATTAATAAGTCTACATATTTTAACCATTCTATTAATAACAACATATTTAATAGCTTAATATAATATAATAATAATCGAATTTATTAAAAAAAATTTAATAAAACTTATAATAGCTTAACTTTTATAAAAAAAATAAAAAAATAAATTATAATTTTAAAATGTAAGATTTTACGTGGATAACATCTAAAACAATATATAATAGATTCAATTCTTTTTTTAAAAAAAATATATACACATAATTATTATATAACAATAAATAATGATAACATTGTTTTTCGTTGTTATTTATTTGAAATGATGATAAAAATCTTATAACAATAAATAATAATAACAAAAATATTCAAAATAATAGTTATTCGTTACATATATAACTACCGTTATATAAAATCATGATCTAAATATTGTAATAAGTAATGTGTTGGTAGTTAAAACATTAATATTCTAATTTCTTCCTGAATTTAAAGGGATTTGAAATATCTCTATGCTTGACTGCTATTTAGGATGCAGCTGCTATTTTTGAAAAAACAAACTTATGCTCGCTTGGTAAACTAGTGTTAGTCCATAGTAGCTCTCTCTCTCTCTCTCTCTCTCTCTGGCTTTATTTTTTTAACTTCCGCCTCAATCATTTATTTAACCAAATAATTTTTCTTTAACAATCGCCAATGTTACAACCACCGTCACAATAAAACGACATCTATACATAGTCCAATCTTTCAGTCAAACCAACCTTATATTCTGTTTAAGTATCCTTAATTTTTTCTACCAATCTTATACAATTATCATTGGAGATGTTAATAATAAAATTATCATCATGGATGGTTAAATTATATTATCTCACATCTCATATAAATAAGCTATACATTAGGAATTTTTAAAAAATATATATAAGAAATAACACGTGTCTATATGCAATAAAAAATTAATTTTAAATAATGAAAACAATAAACTCAATTGAATATTTTATTTTGTGTATCCACTTGACATCACTGTTGCTTTTCGTTTTCTTTCTTTTTCTTGTTCCCCACCAAGTATCGATTTTGAATCAAAAGCAAATTGGATTGCTGTGCTTAGGGGTGATCATTTAATTTTTTTCTTTCGAATTTTAAAATCAGTTTGGTTTCAATTTTTTCTGGTTTTTATAATTATTTAAAGTAATGTAAATAGCTCAAAAAAATTATATTATGGACAATGGAGTCCTTCTTTTAATTCAAAAGGTCTAAATCAACCTATACAAACAATAATAAATATTTATTTAAATGAAATTAAAGTACAATACCATATCACATAATAAGACATCGAAATTTAAAATATTTAATAATAAAAAAACATTTATTTAGATATATTGTACCAAACTACCAAAGTCCAAATAACAATTAAGAGTGCATATATATATATATATATATATATATATATATATATATATATATATATATATTTTTGATGGAAAACCAAATTAAATATTTTAAGAACCAAATCAAAATTAATTTGGTTTTGGTGTTTTAATATTCAAAAATTTTTTTTTTAAAAAAAAACCCAAATTTAACTAGTATTTTGATTTCAATTTAATTCAGTTAATCAGTTTTAATCAAATGCTATTAGCCCTTACAGCTGCTGCACCTTTAAGGAAAACAAAATGCCGTCAAATGCTATTTTAAGGTTCATCACCTTTTCAGTTTACAAATTATTTTTTCGAGTTAATTGTTTTTAAGATAAATCTATCATATTTTTCATTAAATATCACTCAACAATATTGCTGATTAATATGGAAGTTTGTATATTTTGATTTGAATGAAAATAATAACAATAACAATAATAAAATATTGTGGATTATGATAATTTAGTGCCCATTTGGGAACTCTGGTTTTTGGGTATATATTAGTTTTGAAGATTTTTTTCTTTAAAAGCCATTGAGAAATGTGTTTAGTAAAATTTTAAAAATTGAATTAAAAGTTATCTATAAGCTAAATCAGAAGCTACAAAATGAAGATTTTGGACCTTTAAATCTCACATAAAATCATTTTGACAATACTTACTAGCAAATACTTTTTCACAATTATAATTGTCTCAGCTACGAGACACAACCACAACTTTTTAAAATGGACACTTGTTCGCTTCGGACGAAACAAATACATTGTTAATTATATCAAACAATTAAATCGTTGTGTGCTTCTAGCTAATCAACAAAAATGAAAAGCTCAAGAGAGAGAGAAAAAGAATAAAAAAGGTGTAACTAAAACATGGAGTAAATTATAATTAGTCACTCTATCTTGAAGAAATGAATTAACTAATCTTTATTATTTTAAGAACTAAATATTTGATAAATTCGCTAGTGTTGGTCATATTTAATTTAATATAATTTTATTTCAAAATATGTAATTTTTCATATTTTCATTTTTTAAAACAAAAATCAAAATAAATTGAAAAAGTGAAAAAAATAATTAAGTGATCGGAAAATTTAGAACCATTGGGATTAAATAATTATGTTTTGAAATAATAAGGACTATTTAATTCATTTCTTAAAACTAAAAGGACTAATTTATAATTTACTCATAAAAAATGAAAAACGAAACACTAAAAAAATTGAACGCCGTTGCAGGGAATCGAACCTGGGTCACCCGCGTGACAGGCGGGAATACTTACCACTATACTACAACGACTCCCATGTCGGCTGTCGCTCTCTTGTTTTACTTATTTAAATAAGTTACTTTTTTTAACTTTTACGTTATATGTAGCTCCAACATAATTGGCTTCTTTTCTAACTTGTGAGAAAAATGAAAATGAAGTTGTAGACTGCAGAGAGAAGTTGTAAAATTAAAATGAAAAGGAGGTATTTTAAAATACCTCTTTTGTTGCTGGATTATTATTGCTGCTGAATACCAATGATTGAACCTTGGTTTCTTGGGTTTGGAACTTTACACCAAACCAGAAGACCTTGGGAAGATTGGTGGTAGCGATAGCAGTAACTTATGTTACAATTTTTCACTTCTATAGAGACTAAAGTTGCATTTGTCTTGTAATTCACAGCATTGATGCAATAATAATCGGAGTCAGAGATAATGCAGAATCGAATTCATCAATAGAGATATTACGGTCTGTTTCGTTCACAGCATTGCAGGTAAAATTGGATACAGAAGTCATTTGATGATTATGCCCAATAAAGGATGATTAGCAAATTGAATGCTATTTCTAAAACTAGGAAGTCCTTCTTTTCTCTCTTTCAATATTTTTATTTTAATTGTTGTTAATTCACTCAATCAATATACCTCATATATTATTCTTTTGGATCTTCAGGTAATGATATCTCTAGTCTGGCATTGATACCCATTTCCATCATCACAAAAAAATACAAAAATAAACCTAGAATACATTACTAAGAAGCCAAGTTAGAAAAGATACCTCTTTCCTTCTCATGCTGCTTTCCCTTGCTGCAAGCGATTAATTAACCAAATTTGCAGTGAAAGTTAGAGCAATTCATTTTAGAGACTTCACTAAGAAGAAAATGAAACCCATTTCCACCATCACAAAAAAATCCTTACGAACCAAACAGATTAATTCTCCAAAAAGTAGATATTTACATTGAGATCAGTTTCCACAGGTGCTCATGTTCTAAGGATTTCAGCAATCGATTTTTTTAAGCTAAGATCACTCTTTAACTTAGATTTTAACCCAACAAGTAACAGACTGCTCAGCATAATGCAGCTTGTAACCCAAATCATAGTTTTAAATAACTCCCGTTACGTTATATAATGACCGTTATATAACAGTTTCGAAGCATCCCGTTACCGTTATTTTAGTATTATAATAAGTCGCGATTCGCGATTATGATCGTGATCGTTTTTTTACCTGTCCGTTATTTAAAATTATGACCCAAATACAAAAATAAACCTAGAATACTTATGTTTGTTGGAGTATCACTTGTTTCTATTCTTCTATCTTGGCCTTGATGTAAGAATAGGCTGCCACTCCGGCGATTGCAACACCTGTTCCAATACCAGTTTGTGTTGAAATTTTGTTGCCTGCAAGGAGCGAATTGTTATGCAGTATTTTGATTTTACTATCCACAAAAAATAATAGTGATTGTTAAGAAAACAAATGAGTACATAAAATGGTGGCGAGACATGTCATTGCCAAAGATCAAGATGGAAAAGCCAATCATAAGCACGAGTTTCAGCACATTGCCTACTGCCATGTGTAAGAGGTGCAACCCTCTCCAAGGTGTTGGTAGCCAGCTGAAAATTCAAGAGTAAAAAGTTGTTTCATAAAACTAAAAAACAGTATTGTGATAACCTTTCCAGAGAAAGGTTAGCATTCCTGATAAGAGCCGGAGTAGAAATGGAAAATAGTTGAATTGAAATCTCTGAGTAAAAACAAACGGAGACTACAACATTTACTTAATTTCAGGGTTCTTCT